CTCCTGAGTAGCTGGGACTACAGGCGCCCGCCACCTCGCCCGGCTAGTTTTTTTTGTATTTTTTTTTAGTAGAGACGAGGTTTCACCATGTTAGCCAGGATGGTCTCAATCTCCTGACCTCTTGATCCACCCATCTTGGCCTTCCAAAGTGCTGACAGGTTTGAGCTACCGCGCCCAGCCCTCCTCTGACCTTTCTAAGACTGTTGGAAACCTCATGGCTTAAACCCAAGGGGAGAACAAACCTTATCTCCAAACCAACACATTCTGAGAGTGAAAGGGAAGACAACTAACCATTATGCCAGGACAGAGGCATAAACTTGGACAAACCAGGATGTATCATCACCCTATTTCAAATAGAGATTGAAAATGAACTGGCTTAAAAAAATTATCCTGACATCTATCCTCTTGTGACAGTAAAAATAAAATAAAATAAAAATGATCTGTGAATTTGTCTGGTGAATTGTTCTCTTAGTGCATATTTCTATTATACGCCTGCAGTGGCTTGAATGTTAGTCCTCAAAAAGACATGTCCACGTCCTATTCCCTGAAATCCATGAGGGTGACCTTATTTGGAAAAAGGGCTTTTGCAGAGGGAATGAAGATAAGGATCTTGAAGAGCCCTGAATCTGATGACAAGTGTCATCATAAGAGACATATAGGAAGAGGAGGAGAAGGCCAAGTGAAGACAGGGGCAGAGATTGGAGTTATGAAGGCACAAGCCAAAAAACTCCTAGAGCCACCAGAAGCCAAAAGAGGCAAGGGAAGATCCTCTCTTAGAGTCTTCAGAGGGAGCCAGTACCTTGATTTCAGACTTCTTGTTTCCACAACTATGAGAGAATGAATTTCTGTTGCTTTCAGCCAACCATCTGTGGAAATTTGTTACAGCAGCCCAAGGAAACAAATACAATGCCTTAACCACCCCCATGGGAGTCAGAGGTGCCTTCCTCACAGAAAAGTTCAATCTACGTGAAATTTTAAGTTCCTATCCTCACTTTAACCATCACTACCAAACCAGAAATGTAGTCAATACCAGTAAGTTTGGGATAAAACACTGTCACATACAAAATGATACATGATTTAAAAATAAAACTCTTACCCTGTGAGTGACTTCTGACATACTTCCAACTGCTCATGTAAATGAGGTAAAAGTTGTCCCATGGTTTCATCTCCAACACAGCAATTAATCACGTTGGGATTCTCATGAGCTCGCTGCATTATTTTTATCCACGATTTGTCAATATTCTGAAAACGTTTTGCTTCCTGAAAACGAATCCATAGCCAGTAAAGATTAGCATTTGGATAATTGAGAAACAGCAAAGTCTTCACCTTGGAATTTTCTATAGTTCTTCAAACCAGCCTCTATTAGTCTCAGGCTGCATAATTTAAACGGACAATTTTTTTTCATCTGAATTAATTCTGAGCGACACAAACCCGAAGTTATAAAACTGCATATTAAAATGCTACTTTATCACAATGAGGCTTATTGCTTATTTGTTTCATTGCATTTAATATGTTTTTCAAAGTACCACATGATTAATTTGCAGAGTTATCAACTTAAAGTTCCAATCTAGTGTTTCAGCACCCCAGGTGTTTTGGTTTGATGAGCAAACTGAAGAAGCATGAAAATAATTTGATCTCAGGATCCTTGGAATAACTGCAGCTCAATAGTACCCCAGGGCAGGGGGAAAAAAAGAAAAAAGACGGTAAAGCCACAAAACAAAGTTTCATTTACATTTTTGCAAGTGAAAATTTTCTGTTTACTATGAATGATATTAAGCTTTGCACTCAGTTGCAAAAATGCCTCTAGAAATTGGCATAATCTTTCCTCTTTTAAAAATACAGTCTTCCGATTAAAAACAAAAATGATATATTTCAGTTTAATGTTTTAAAAATGTGCCATTAGTACAAAGGAAATCAGTCATTTAAAAAAAAAAAACTCTTTTATCCTTCATTTTTAACCCATATAGATCCTGTTTGTAAATATGGAAGTTTAGGAAGAGCAGGCTTAGTTTTCTAAGAGCAAAGTTACCTTCATTGACTAAACCTATCAGTTATTATAGTTATTGGCATTTATTTAAAAGGCCCCAATAGAGCTGTTTTAAAGGTTTTGTTACAGCCTCCCAAAGCTGTTTTCTTGC